ATAACAAGAACTCATATTGTACACTATTAATAGTTCCGCGGGAAAATTATTTGTACATACTGTCAGAACTTATTATCGTTATTATTACTATTATATATTGATACATTTTTAGTGACTGACTTTTATCACCAGAACACGATTGGTTTATTGAAAACAGTTATTATTATAACCAATTGTACCAGTGACTGTTTTAATGTGCTTTTGTTTAGCTGTGCTAAAAACACCCATTATTCCTACACTTTGGTCGTGACTTCGCGCGAATTCGGTTACGTTCTGTAATTAAGCTTGTATTCTGGCACGATCTCGGTATCCTTTCGATACCACGAGATCGCCAGCAAATATATCTCGACTTGGTCCATTAACTGAATTCTGATACATTGCTTGCGGAGAATTTTATGGAGTCATTTGTCACGCGTTTCTTGGTAGTGGTGTTCATAGTCCATCTCGACTCGACGCAACGCTACACATTTAAAGGGAAATAAAATACTAACTTTATGAGTAATTTTAGCTGCTTGAGGACGTATGAAAAAAGAATATACATCATGATCTGATGTAAGAGTTATTAAACTAGATTGCGTAGAGTAAACAATAACAATGAAAGATATTGCATGCGAAGAAAATGAATTTTAAAGTTATCAAGTTAGCGGAGAATTATAAGGTGATTAAAACATTTTCGCTACAATAAATAGAGGTAGTAGAGAGGTTTTTATTCAATGGAGTGATATCAAAGTATGGGGATATGAAGAACAATTAAAGAGAAAAGGAGATATTTGCAAATACGAAATGTAATAACAATAGTTTAAGGTCATCGTAACGATAAGGATAAGACGTACTTCATTTGTACTCACTGTTTCGGGTTCATCTCATGGATAGGAAGATTTTCTGCTGCTTTTGGAAGTTTGGCACGAAGTAATGTAGGTAGATATTGACGAAAATTTCTTAAATCAACATGTGGTTCAGCGGATTGATTAGATTCGTTTAGATGTTCAAAAATATAATAATAAAAAAATGATGGTCTAGCTTTAATTGACTCATGATCTCAACTATTGAAATTACCACAATCTCAACAAAACCCCTTCTGATACAAATAATTTCATTGTAGATACACAGTGATGTGGCCCAATGCCGCTAGTTTATCCTTGAGACATCCATGAATGGTAGACCCGGTTGAGAAAACGATTCGGATTTTAGCTGTGTAGAACGTCTTATTCAACGATTTTAAAAACGGTTTATTAATCATTTAAGCAACCGTATCGCCTTTAAACTTCATATTCATAAAACGTTTTATTTTGTACTGTCGATGCTTTCTCATGATGATTTCTGAGAGTTGAGTTGTTAACGACGAATCTAAGTGGATGACCATTCCTAATGAGAGTCTCTCAAAATTGAAATAGTTCCTCATCTATTGTATCAGTAGAACATATTAGCACAGTGTTACTAAAAGGGATACATTTAAATGAAAATAACAATGAGATTATTTATCAAATTTCAATTTATAATAATCATAAAAATGGTATGAATATATCAAAGAAGCTTTACATGATAAATATGGGACTGACTTAAAGATTTCGTAGCCTGATGAATAACATTTAAAGTTGTAAAAAATATGTTTTTCGAATGAGATCATGAACCGATTGATGTTAGACTACCATTGAAAACCTGGAAGCACTGAACGGCCGTTTCGTCTTATTATTGGACTCCTCGGCAGTGTGCATTCACGATCCCGCCTTGTCGATCAAACACCATCGTGTTATTCACTTATCTTCTGAGTCGAGATAGCCACTTGCATGTGCAATGTATGCTTGAAAACATATTGAGCATATAACACTTGAAACAATCACTTTTTTATATTTATGGTTATATCCCTAATATTTATTATTAGAAATATTGAACAAAGAATTATAGTTGGTCTGATATTAACCGTAAGAATGTTGATGCTTTCGATGCTTCAGGAATGGTCGTGAGGCTAAAATTAATCCTTAAAACTGTAAATACAATGGGGAATTGTGGATTGGTAGATCAACGAATTACGCGAGCGATTGTTACCTTTTGCTCAACTATCCTTCATCCCATTTGGCAGTTGATTGGAAGTCTATACTTTACAATTGTTGGTAGAAGACGCTGACCAAGACACTCGTGTAGAAAATAAAGTTTTTCTCGAGTGAAAGCCTATTTTGTGTAGAAATTCTCCCGTTTTTGAACAACAAGAATCATACCACGCTCATTTAATTTTGAGATGGTAGAGAAGATTTGTAGCTCGGGTGGCTGATTTTGACGAGGTTTTGTTCTCTAAGCTGGATACTTTTGTCGTGGAGCTTTCATTGTTCTTCATCAGCACAAACTTCAGTTAGAATCGAAGTGTCCAAAATGTAATAAATTTAAAGAAATTATCCTGTGGTTATGATTTCATCGCCAGATTTATTATTGTTATAACACCCATATTTTGATAAAATATTTTGTCTTATAAATTCACCTCATAAATTTATATTTCCATATTTGTTTGATCGTTTTCAATGGACAATACCTAATATTATTCAATGGTTGTATAATCACATTATGACTGCTTCCCAATATTCTATCACCTTATTTTCAACCTACAATTTTCTAAGAAAAAGTTGTATTTGGAAGATTCATGTTTAAGTCGCCAATAGATTACATCCCTTCACCATTTAATTCAATCGATCTATCAAATAAGAATGTGAAATAACAGTATGAAACAGGAACTACAACACTGAAGGGTGACAATTAAGCAATGTCATATTGACGAACAATTATTTTTATCCTAATGCCATTGTTAATTCATTAAATTTCGGCCCTTGACTGCCATAATACGCTCGAGGGTGAGGAGAGTTAGCTCACCTTCTCAAAATGTTTTCACACGTTTGCAGCCACTGTCACGTAGGTCGTGCTCACTGCCTTCTCGTGTTGAGGGTGTTGTTTACGAAATTGAGAGAACAAAAATCGAATGTCCTGCGCTTTATGCGTATTAGTGATCACAGAGATTTCATTCAGGGGAGTTGGAAAACCCTGATTACATGTTAGACAGATCAAATACAAGAATAAGTAGCGGATTTTCAGAAAGCTGGCAATCAGGTCAATCAGCAGTCACTCAACATAATGAAATTGGTACACATTATTAAACAAAAAAGTCATGTAGACAGGTTATGTTAAAAAAAGGAAAAAATAGACAATAACGATGAATACGTAGTGAGAAATACACTATATGAAACAGACTTTCTTTGCCTACTTATATGTGGAAGTAAGATGTTTGATGTTGTCTGGACAATCAATGGAAACTGTAGTGCCTGTGCTTCGATAACTAATCACCCTCGTACCGTTATCGTATAATCTTCAACGGTGCTTGAAATCAGAAGGCATAAAGAAGCATCTACTACAGTTTATTTAGCAGATGATTCGGACTAGACAGCAGACAGGCAAAATGGATGAGCAAGCGAACTACGATTGTGGCAGTAGCAGTAGTAGTAGTAGTGCAAATGTACATGTATATATAGGGCAATGGATGAGTGATCGAATAAAATAACACATTTTGTCGAGAAATGGAGGCCGACATGAATAACATTAACTGGAAATGATGTCTCAGATCAGAGTGGATTGGAGAATGCTGGTCGGCGGCCTATGCTCCATTAGGAGTAACAGACGTATGTAAGTAAGTAAGAAATTTTTACTAACTTCTTTAACAGACAGTGATTCATGCTATTCACTTCTTACTGAATTCTGATTTTAAATATCGTTGAGATCCATAATAATGATAACGGTTACAAAGATGGTTGACTAACGAAACAAAGCCACTGCACCATAATCGTCACACTAAAAGTTCAAATAGTTTGTAAAATGACTTTTCCGATCCTCATTATAATGTGTGGAATTTGGTATAATTGTCTTCCCTTATCAACTAAACTGTTCTGATACCATTCAAGTATTCAAATTCAATCTTTTATTTTGTCTGACAAAAGTGTTTTTTCTCTCTCACTCAGTAACTCAGTTAAATTTATCTAAGAACATAACGATATGGACTTTATACTTTTGTCATATAAAGAAAATCAATGGATCCATTGACTTTGTATTATTAACAAATAAATTACAATTCACATATTTCCAGGGGAATAATCTAGTCAATATTACAGACTTTTCACAATTCATATTACTAATAGATTTTAAGTGGACCTCAGTTGAAAAAGTGTATTTATTGTAAGATCGTTTTGTGTTAGCATACAACATTGATGTGAACTACTGGATCCTTGACCATTGGTTCAATGTTACACCATCCATCCTTAATGTTTCCTCGATTAAAACACCTAATAACCTCTGACCTGTTCTTGCATATATATCTTTAGTTATCATTGTAAACTTTTATCATTTCAGTTATTTACATTCCTTTATGTCAGTTGTTTCCCACAGGTTGGAAAAAATAGTTGAAAACTCTATCATTAGTTCTTTCGAATGTGTTTCAGGTTCATGAGGTTGTTTCACCAGACGGCATACGGTGTTTAACGGAATGTAAGCTAAATTTAGCCGGTCAAACCAGTCTAGACCAAATAGATTAAGATCAGCTGGTGCGATGTAACATATTCCGGTTAACGTTGAATCGTGAAAAGACACTTAACAATCTGGTTGTCCCAACAAACTTAGATAATAACCGCATGCAGTTTCAGGTTTCTGTGTTGTTGTCACTGTGCGTGGTCTTCCCATTCTTATCCAATATTTCCATCAGAGAATTGTCATGTCAGATGCAGTGTCTAATTTCAGTCTAAACGGGTGCTTCTTAGTATTAAGGGTAATAAATTGCTTCTCACCTGAGGTTGAGTTCTGACAGCTTGCTATTAAACTCAATGAATTCACGTTGGATCTAGGTCTAGGGCAGTTGTCATGTTAGGTCGTCGCAATTGTCGTGTGGAAAAAAAACGCTGATCACTTATGCTCGGAACTAGCAACCTCGGCGATTCACACTATGTTAAAGTCATATCACAAGACTAGTATAAGCGAAGATTTATTAGCCTCAAACACTACGACAGCGACGAATCATGATAGTCTAAAATACACTAGTTCATATATTGATTGTACACTCATTTTGATTATTAATTAGAATAAAATAACATAGTGAGTATAGTTCATATCAAGTGAATACGAGAATATCGTTTATTATACAGAAGAAAATATTGTACTGGGAAAAAAATCAAATATTACACTGAATGATCATTACACTGAATTAGAAGGGAAGTAATGTTGAACAAAACTTCTGATGAGTAAATCAATCGAAAATTGACTTTACTTTCCATTATATCAAGTTTATGATGATCTTTAAAATATTCCAAATAAATATCTATGAATGTCTGTAAAGTAGTTGAAACACTCATTGGAAAAGGATCCGATAATCGTGTCCGATCATTGTGTCATTGAGTTTACCATTGCTGCATTTACAATCGATGACTGTATTTAAAGAAAATTGTAAACTAATGACAAGTATTATATGTTCATACATCAATAGGAAAACACAGTAGAGTAAAGAAAAATGTTTTGGTTTGCAGTAACTGTTCAGATAATATGTTGTGAATATATTCATCTGTAATTATGAAAACGTAAATGATTAGTTCATCATCAATGTATTCATATCAACATATGTATCAGTGAAATAATAGACATCTACAAATATAGGGTTATGAACTTAGTAATTTCTGAATATTCATACATAACAAATAAACATTAAGTGTCTTGTATATTGAACTGTCAAATATTAACAGATAATCGTTTGCCTATCGAAGCATCATATAAATTGAGCCATGCAACAACTCAACGCCTCTCTTTCAACCATTCAGCTTTGCATCTCGTTATGTTTGCTTCGGAATGTTTCATGATGATTTCTTGTGTTTGCTGTGAACAGAGAACACTAATGCATCAAATTTCTAATTTCAACAAAAGTATATAGTCGGATGCATTATAATTGATGAACTGATATTTGTATTTGAATTCGATTATTTATTCAGGACTTACAATGAAAATTGCGCAGCACCAACAAACCAAAATTGCATATAGTAGACCACTCTAAAATAATGGAAAGAAAACAATTGACTTCAATTCACCATATATCTATATAATTATTAGGAACACTGTTACTATCTGAGCAAATCATTGTCAAATCATTAGTAATCGCTAATCACAACTAGTTTATGTAAATCTATGATTAGACGAACTTACGTTTTTTAATATCACCCACAAAATAATGAGAATGAATCCAGTTAACACAAATACGCCGCCAATCGCAAACAAGAGTATCGTCCATTTCTTTCCTGAGCCACGTAGCTTTACACCCAATAAAATGGCTATGATGACGAGCACGGTAGCCACAGTTACAGAAATAATTTGTTCGTACCACTTTGCAAATGACATTAGTAATGCAACACCGACATTTATGACGATCATCTGAATATGGAAAATGTAGTGTACAATTAACATCAGTTCATAAATTAAACGGGTCAACAAATGGACAAATATTGAGAGACTAATCTACACTATCCTGCATTTGATTGAAATGCTTAGAAATGAGTATTTATGGATGCAAGCACATAACAAAGAACCCGTATCCACGCATATCATAATGACAAACGTAAAATGATTTCAAACCTAATTCCCTCATCCTTAACATACGACCATTTCAATGAGATTTATTACCTAGTGGGTGTGAATTATAACAACTTGGGTAAACCAAGTACTTCGACAGCTAGTAATGTCTGAGACTTGAAACACGAAATGATAACTTGTGTATCATACAATACAAGTTCAGTGATAGACAAAGTGTGTGGATGAATATACAAATTAAAATGACAGATATCCAAATTGTCTAGTTGTTCTCTGTTTACAACCGATTCTATATCGTACAAATGCTTATAACAACAAACATAGTTGAGGGTATAATGTAACGGTTTCATTTGTATCCACACATACAAATTTCTAAACCAATATAACCTGGACAGATACGTTTCAATGTTATATTATTCTCATCATTTATCAGTTGAGTAATAGTCCATAATCCCACCGGATCTCCAATGATCTGAGTTATAAACATTGACATTTTTATGAAATCAGTGAAATTATAAAAACCTTATCTCTCAACATTATGACATCTCCAAATTCACCATCGAAAATCATCTGTTCAAGTCAACCTTCATGCATTCATTTATGTCGATCACCATTATCAAACTAACATGACAACGTGTTTACTATTCAACAAACAAATTAACGAACCAAATTCATTCGATGATTGGATGAAAATAGCATGAATGTAGTTTTAAACAATATTCAACTGACGGTTATCACGATGAAGATAGAGTTCACTGTGGATGTAGTATGCAGTGTTCTTATGAATGTTATTAATAATCCAAGAACTAATCCGATCAATCTGAAGAACAAAAGAGAGAAATGTACAACAAACTAAACTCACAGATACAATGGACTACAGTGATGTGCATCAGATGTTGTACATAATCTGTATGCATGAAATAGTTTAACAAGTTCCTCAACTCCTCAGTTCGAAATTTTCGAAAGTACATGAAACTTGTCAAAATAATCGATGAGTGAAATACCTAATGAGTGAACGTCTTGAATATTTTATTTCATCCTCTAAATGCCCTGGTACGTCCGAGATTGGTGAAAATTAGGTCTCCATCTTGAAATTCTCTCACATGGACACGCACATAAGCCACCGCCAGGAAAGTCCTACTTACTGCCTTCTCATAGTAGGGGTGTTGTTCACGAAATTGAAAGGAGAAAAAGCAAATGTCCAGCGCTTTAACCGGATAAGTGAACACGAAGATTCTACTAAGGGGACTTGAAAAACACTGATTCCAAACCGCTGATGCACATGACTCCAGGATACTGAGTGGAAAAATGACATGTGAACCTATTGTTGGTCAATGGCTACCGTGGAACTGCATCTCCTCACGTTACTTCACTGCCTTGTGGATCGATTATTTTGGTCAAGGGTTCCGTAGTAGCTCGGTAAGAAAACCAACGGCTTCGATCTGATCACCCGAGCAGCGTCACAGCCCACACACAAATCCAGTGACTTGTGTGTCGTATATGTATTTGCTGACTCGTTGTACTAATATTTATGAGTTGAAATAAACAAATAAATACACTTTAGTATGATAATTTATTGTGATGTGATGTAACACAAAATGACGATGCTTTCTAATGGGAAAGAAATGAACCATATCCCTCTTCCTCAATCATAATATTCTTGTCAAACATGGATCGAATTTCTCATCAAAGTGTATTAATCAGTTCATTGAATGATACGTAATAGTAATACATGGAAAATTGTCGTTAAAAGTCTCGGGTAATATCTGTATTTCAAACATATATTACTTACGTTAATATGAAACCACTGAGAACTACTGGATATGTATAACAAAGAAAGCTGAATCTGTCAACTGGAATGATAAATGTCTTACATGCATGTAGAATTCTCGTGACAGGTTTCATTTGGCACATTTTTGAATGCAAATTCCATCGTCGTTGAACTATCTGCAATGAAGATTTGTAAACAATTCACCATTGAAAATTCACCTTCCGCAGTCACTAATTCTAACTTTGACTGAAATAAGTAAAAGATCGCAATACAGTGCTGGAGATAATCAGTTTCATGGATTACGTAAAACCTTAAAAATCCATTCGCATGCCTATTTATTTTCTTATTCATGGTATTTCAACAGGTATGGATTCATGGACAGAATCAGAATTTCATCTGATTTGTTTTGCTTTATCATTCTGACGAGATTAATAACGAATATTGAAAGCCGATAAAAATTGATCTCATCAGATTCCCTTTAACTGCTCACTGCATACATTGGTTTAAGGTCATCAAAATGATTGCGCTCAATCCAGTGAATATGATTAACATGGAGCAATCTAATTATCACCATAAATAATACTCAGTGGATTATGTTATTTCTCTGTTATTCTCTCCTGTGATTTTCACAAAAGATTATGTAGTATTGTAAGGTGTGCTGAAAGCAATGAGTAGTGTGTGTAGTGAATCTTTTGAGATTATTACAAATACGTTGTTAATAGACATTCAAAATTCTGCAAAATGCTGACAAGTGATATCCTTCCAATTATTTACTAGCCAATTCATTCTTATATTTCGCCTTCAATGAGCATCTCTCGTGTTGATAAAAGAAATTAGTTTGAATTATTTGTGCTTAGAGTTTTATATTGTTGTTAGCCTATAATATCGAACGCTACCATTGCCATTGGTACTCATAGCACAACTTATCAACGAATCTAAACTCATGCCGAATTCATACCATTCGATAGAAATTAACAAACTCACATGGAATGATACTGACGTTCAGTAAAACTAATTCAATAAAATCACACAAATTTATAATGGAATTCACCGATTACTTTGATTCAACTTTGTTAACTTATGGGTGATTACTTTTTTCATTGAACTTTGGTTAAGCCGTCTTTGAATTAAACAATAGAATAAGTGATTCGTTAGAAATAAAGCAATTTTATTAGACTGTTAGTTCATTATTAATGAATGAGTGGTAGTGTATTGAAGACCAATACCAGCGAGGACTTAAAAATAAAATCTAACAATCATCATTTAGATGCTTAATTTGCAAAATGTCTATCAATTGTATCATAATGACTCAGACTTCATTGTTCTTGCATTTTCATACAAATTGCCTCCTGTTGTGATTCTTGACTGTTCGATCCTCTTGTCTCTCTCCTTCCAGACCTTCTATTCATGACTAACAACATCTACTACTTATATTCATTTATAAGTAGCACACACTACAATCGCACCTCGGAGGTAGAACGATCTTGTCGATTTGATGTACTCAATGGTTGGATGAATTCTCTACAGAGTAATGACGTCAGTTGAAACAACATCAGAACAATAATGATATTCACATATTTGCTTTTTAATAGTATGATGAGTTTCTATGGTCGAAATCAACACATCTTCTACACCATCAGTGCATACGTATTTTTGTAATGCGATTGTTGAAGAAAGTCGTTGAGGAAACCTAAACCTAGGTTTCATGTGAATAGACAGTCGTGAGTAAGCTGTAACTGTAGTCTTGAGGAAAGTGATGCTTGAGTTTCCGTGTCTACTAACTTCACCATTGGAGACGTTGCCACTGGGATGTAATGAACCTTAAACAAATCATCCTGTTGATACGATTTTATCGCCCATTTCCATTTTAATTATTTATTATTGTTATCACTCCTATATTTTGATAAAATATTCTGTCATATAACGTCACTGCAGAAGTTTATATTTTCATATTTATTTAATAGCTTTCAATGTACGATACATAGTTTCACTGCCTTGTGGATGAAGACGGTGGATGTGATGCAAATATGAAGGCGTGAATCGGCAAATCATGAACAGCATAGTTACAACTGAAGAACATCTGGGACTGAAAACAACTATCAACCAACACAAAAGTCACAATTTTCAATACATATATCAAGACAGTTCTACTGTACGGGGTGAAAACCTAGAGAATTACGAAAGCCATCACCAAGAAGATACGAATGTTTATTAACAGATTTCTACGCAAAATACTTTGGATCCGTTGGTCAGACACCATCAGCAACAACCTATTGTGGAAGAAAATAGACCAGATCTCAGCAGAGGAAGAAATCAGGAAGAGGCCCAGGAAGTGGATTGGACACACATTGAGGAAAGCATCCAACTGATTCACAATGCAATACCTCACCTAAAACCATCAAGGGAAAGTCGAAGTAGAAGAGGAATATAAAATAACACATTCGGTTGAGAAATGGAGTCCGACATGAGTAAAATTAACTGGAAAGGATGTCTCAGATCAGAGTGGATTGGCGAATGCTGGTCGGCGGCCTATAATTTATTAGGAGTAACAGACGTATGTAAGTAAGTAAGAAATTTTTACTAACTTCTTTAACAGACAACGTTATTTGAACAGTGTCAAATCACTTGATAATTTGTAGTATTATGATCACTATGTTGTTTCTGTAAACAAGTAAGCTTGGTCATATGATAGACTCTAGCTAGAATGTAGAACACTTCAATATTGGTCGAAAATTCATGCTCTTTTTCATGTATATATGTGCTGAAATCGTATTATTAGTCTTTGCCTTGCTTATCTGCGCCTAATTGGATTTGAGCATAAATTTGTCTCTCTATTCGCCAGCAAATATACATTCGGCTCTGTGCTTCAAATTCCTTTGACGTGCTTGTAACTATGTGATTTATGCTATCGGCTTCTTAATGAATTCTGATTGTAAGCATCGTTGAGATCCATAATAATAATAATAACGGATACAAAGATTGATTAACATAGCAAATAGTTTGAGAACTGTGCACTTGTAATTGTTATATGAAGTTCTGCGAAGGGATCTCTTGTCAACACATTTAATATCAAGCTATACAATCGTATATATATGAAACTTTTGTTGTTGTTAATGTAATGATTTCATGATGAAATGTAAACACGATTAACCAAGATGATGTAATAGAATGATTGTTATACTAGATTACGTAATACGAATAATATTAATAGATTTAGTGAATATAATAAGATGATTAAATTGTTTTTTGTTATAAAAATTAAAGGTCATAGAGTTGTAAAAAATAAATTAATAAGATGATATGATGAACATTTACGAATAAAATATAATACATAGGTAAAGGAGAATGCAATAATAATAATAATAATAATAATAATAATAATAATAATAATAATAATAATAATAGGATAATTTAAACAACTGAGACGTTAACGATAAGACTTACTTCGTTTGTACGCATAAGAGAATGGTTACTTTCGTTTAGGTGTTTAAGTATAGAACTCGTAACTGCTTATTTTTACCCTTACTTTTCATCCTTATTAAACCAAGCTGGCATAAGTTCTCGTATCCAAGTTGAACGTGACCGCTGGCTACGGCCAATATACCTAGCTCCACAAAAGCAGGTGAACTGGTAGACGCGGATAGAAGCGAACAGACGCAGAAGCTTATCTTTTATGGATACAGGAAATAAGTTCCTGCTAGTGAAGGTTATTCGCAATTCAGCCGCATTAATTGTTCTTCTAATAGTTGTTGTTAGACGATTTTTGATTACGTCTGATGTTTGATCATCATTAAGTTCCAGACTTATATAAAGGTTTTTCTTCGGAACGGCACAACTAGATTTCTTGTCGTAACTACTTCTATTCATATTCTTTCCTGTGAACCATTCTGGGTAACCATTTTCCGTCAAGGTTTTCTTGAGGAATGCGAGTTCCTCGTTATTTCATTCCGTACTGCATATCTGATGTATTTGATAACATAAAGAATGGACGAGCTTTCTCTTCCTACTTTACGGAACCCGGTTATAGAATTTGGTTAGCTGGCCATTCCATGTTTGTTTTCTAAAGATGAATCGTTTTGAAGGACCAGTACTCTTTCTCATCAGACGTACATCGAGAAAAGGAATTGATTGGTTTCGTTCTCTTTCTAACGTGAATTCTGTGAAAGGGTGGCATGAGTTAAAGGTGTTTAGATTATCATCTAAATCAATATTTTCGTCACAAACGAACAACGTGTCGTCCATGTATCTTGCGTATAGGTGGAATCGATTGATCATTGAACGGAGTTGGTTGTTTTCTACTTTTGCCATGAAACAGTCTGCTAAAATTGGACCCAATGGAGACCCCAATGCGATCCCATCCCCCTGTCTATATATTTCATTATTGAAACTCAACCGGACATTAAAAGTACAGCCTAACAATAGTTCTTTGAAATTTTTAGTCGGCAAACCTACATCTGTGTTCTTAGAATCAATAAGCTCATATATATAACATATCGTTTTGTTTAAAGTTACTCTAGTGAACGAAGAAATAATGTCAAGCGAAAACATGTGTTTTTCGGGAGTATCAATGTTCTTAATACGATCAATAAATTGAAAAGTATCATGAATAGAATATTGAGATACTTGCTTTCTAAACGGTTCCAATTTTTCCGCTAACCATTTGGCGATTCTGTGATAAGGTGAACTTGACATGTCCAAAACAAGTCGTAACGGTAAACCCGTCTTATGTACTTTTTGTAGCCCATATAAGCGCGGGATAATTGAACCCATAGGACGTATGTGATTATACAAATCTTGGGTTATTATCCCCTTATTCTTAAGACTTTTGACAACATCTGTTGGCTGTTTTTTGATTTGCAATGTTTTATCAACTTCTCCTTTAGGTTTGGAGAATTTAGTACCATTCTCTAGAATTAACTACATTTTATCCAAATATTCTTGGCTGTCAAGTAGTGCTACACCGGCTCCTTTGTCAGGTTTACTTGGGATTAAATCCTTATTTCTTTTCAACAGTATTAGCTGATCCAAGTAGTTCTTAGTTAGTAGCTTATTCTTACTACATTGTGCAACAACGTACTCAGTAATGTAGATTTAAAGTGCTGAAGATTTTGTGGGGATGTTGGCACAAAATCATGAGTTTGCTTTGATGGATTTTTGAATTGCATTTGTGTATGAAGTCTACTAGTTTTGAAGGTGCTGTTACACAACTTGGGACCCAATGATAAGGCCTGTTTTTAGATTGGCGTAAGTTTAATAGAAGACTGATTTAAAACATCCTTTTTCTGGATGTTCTGTTAACTTCTTAATCACGTCTACGTGTTGCAATGCTTCCAAGTGTTTACGTTTAGCTTTTTGTGACTGCTTTTCAGTAACATTAGTAACACAGTCCTCAAACTGTTTACGTTCATCTAACGACAATTAAAACAATGCGTGACTTCTTAGAGATATGTTGCAATCTAGTTCAACTATTCGAGATTTAATAGCATCGATATAATTGAGTGCATGGCGTTTGAGTGTTTTCGCATTGAGATGAATATGGTTTCGCCATAGTGCCTTCCAGAAACGTTTAGGACAATCGTTATTTTCGATACAGCTTTCGAAAAAATTGATCTTACATTTCATTAACGCAAGCTTGATGATGAAAAGTAAGAACCCATTGAGCTCTTTCATCGTAATAAGGTTCTTGCATTTCTTCAATTGACAGATAATTCCCATTTAAACATTGAAATTAAAACACGATGTTCAGGGGAAAAATTTCATTTCGATAAATTTATTATCAAACTGTACAATCGTATATATATGAAATTTCTGTTGTTGTTAAAGTACTGATTCCATGAGGAAATATGAACACAGTTAACCATGACATAATACAAAAACAAAATTTTCATATATATACGATTGTACAGCTTGATAATAAATTCGTTGACATGAGATCCCTTCGCTGAACTTTGTGTTTTGATTGTAATATGACTTTTCCAATCCTCATTATAACGTGTAGAATTGGCATGATTGTCTTCCCTTGTCAACCAAACTATTCGGATACCATTTAAATATTCAGATTCAATATTTCATATTGTCTGACAAACGTGTGTTGTTTTGTTCTCTCTCTCTCTCTCAGTAACTCAGTTAAGTTTGTCTAAGAACAAAACGATGTGGACTTTGTACTTATGTCATTTAACGAAAATCAATGGATCCATTGACTATGTATTACTAACAAATAAACTACAATTCACATATTTCCAAGGGAATAATCTAGTCAAGATTAAAGATTTTTCACAATTCATATTACTAAAAGATTATAAGTGGACCTCAGTTGAAAAGTGTATTTATTGTAAGATCGTTTTGTGTCAGCATACAACATTGTTGTGATCTACTGGATCCTTGACTATTGATACAATGTTATATCACGGCGAAGAATAAATGATTGCCAATCGTTAGGAATACACTCAAGTAATACACCATCCATCGTTAATGTTTCCTCGATTATAACACCTAACAACCTCTGACCTGTTCTTGCATATATATCTATTGTTATCATTGTAAACCTTTGCCATTTCAGTTATTTACATTCCTTTATGTCAGTTGTTTCACACTATTTCTTATCTCAATGTAAAATTCTATTACATATTTGGTTTGTAGGCAGCTGACGAGAAACCTCGAAATATTATGAATTGATTAGTGTGAACTACTGGATCCTTGACCAGTGGTCCAATGTTATATCACGGCGAAGAATAAATGATTGCTAATCGCTAGGAATTATTTATGGACTGTTATATGCATTTTTTGTTATATAACTATCAAGTAACTGTGATATGTGTATATGTTAAAATTTATTTTAGCATAAGCTTCTATTCGACCTGTTGGTTGCTGTTATATGATTTAACATTCTTAATTCATTACCAATTTGTTAGCAGCAGTCTCTCACAATCATAGTCACATGTGGTTTGATGTTGTATAACTGTTATTTTCTCCTACGTTATAATACTGTCTAGTTTTTCTTTGTATATAAACATGTTATGTCTGAAAATATGGTTTGCATCGCGGAGGCTGATACTGGCGTTCCGGACTGAACAGGCGGAGTAAAGAGAGAAGTTATTATCTAGATACATATAGGTTTACGAGTCATTGTTCCTATCATATAAGTCGGTGTTCCTAATTGAGGATCGCATCACTTGATATAATTGACTGAACATAAAGACATAACACCCAATACTGGACGCAGTTAACGTTTAACTTTATTCATTTCACCATTTTGCACAGCAACCATCCATAAAAGCTTACTCTCGATACGGTTGAATTACGCCAATCATCACTATTCAATAAAACTCCAGAAATGACACTCCTATATATAGAGCAAACGAACTTTCTCTCTCTGTTTTATTGCCATCACAGCAATTTACAGCATTTAAATAAACACTTATAGAGTAGTCGCGTGGTAATGATTACAAATAATAACAATCACGTATATTAAGAATAGAAGCGAAATACAATGAAGTCACAGAACTAGTAACAAAGCTTTATCCATGAGGAGCTCGATTAGTTGACTAACAATGCTCAGGGCTATACGTGGTAACCTTTGGAATACTCACCTTCGTCGTTCTTTTTTAAAGTATGCTTTCAAGACTGGTACGAATAAGGATCGATGTGATCGCAATCTAATTAAAATACGTATACTTAATCATCATAACTGGCGGCGAAGAAGTTCTTTCTTTTAGCATAACGTCAGTTACCAAAATATCGGTGCCTGATTTTCAATAAATGGTCTCCAATAAAAGCTCACAAACATTTTTGAGAATATATGCAACACAAACAACCAGTTTATAACTAACAAATCAGTCGACTACCAGGTGTTAGCACTTCCCTTCACACCCTAAAAATTAGTGGAGTCCTTGATAAACGACGGTCAATATGACCACTTGCTGTCCATGCAACTCGACATGTCAGACAGATCAAACACAAGAATAAGTAGCAAATTTTCAGAAAGCTGGCAATCAGGTAAATTGACGAATTCTAAACATACTGAAATTGATACACTTTATTAAACAAAAGCGTCATGGTGACACGCTATGATAAAGAAAAGGAAAAAATCAACAAGAACGATGAATGTGGAGTTCGAAAGACACTACATGCAACTAATAAGAGAAGAAATTTTGTTTGCTCACTTATATGTAGAAGTAAGATGTCTGATGTTGTCTGGGCAACCAATGGAAACCATCCATCTAAAACAATGTCAGACAAACAAAACCAGTCACGACACGTGTGTATTTGGGAAGTACGGTTGTTGAACAAATCATTCCAGTCTATTCGGTGGTTGTATAATTGAAATGCGCTTCAATGCCTGTCTGCATTCTAAATGAATATTTTCTATCCAGACATATACACTAACAGGCAACATCTATTTAATAGAATATCTTTATAAATTTTGGAGTGATCTGGAAAACGTCTCGTAACAGACAAGCAAGGATGAAAAAAACACTAAAGAGCAATTTATCTAACCAGCGTTTAATTGTAGTTTAGCCAGAAGCATCGAGAAAGTAAAAAGTCTCATGTAGAGTTTCTGCTTGGATGATTACTATGCTTCTACTATGTTAATTAGCATTCCAGAATCTACGGGAACCCTAGAAACATCTCAAACATTATAAAAACCCTATATTTTCTGTACTAGAATGAACCTTTGGAGTAAAGTACTTCTAGCATAATTTGCACCTTTTCTCTCATGTTCAGGTTGCTTTGTAGTTCTAGCTTGAGGGTTACAAGAATTGCTTAGTAACCGATTATACGGTTCACTTAGCAAGATTTATAAATAAATATTAGAATAGTTTACAATAATCTTCAAAATATTTCACATGAATATCTGGAAAAAAATTTACACACCATTTGTAACAGCATCTATTCATCAAGTCTAATCATTGTCTCATTCAGTTAATCCATTGATAAATTACAATCGAGGAGTGCATTTAGAGAAAATTGTAAACTGAGGACAAGTACGATATGTTCATACACCAATAGGAAAACACAGTAGAGTAAAGAAAAATGTTCTCGTTTGGAGAAAATGTCCAGATAATATTTTGTGCATGTAATCACCTGTAATTATGAAAATGTAAATAATTAATTAATCATCGATGTATTCATATGAACATATGTATCAGTGAAATAATGGACATTTACAGATACAGGGTTATAAGCCTAGTAATTTCTGAATATTCCTAAATAACAAATGAACAGTAAGTGTGTTGTATTTTGATCTGTCAAATATTGACAGATGATCATTTGTATGAAAGAGCATCATATAGATTGAGGCATTCAGTTAAGGAAAGGAATTGAGCGATATATATTTCATCAATCAATTTTCCCATTTCAGACATTGAGTTTTGCATCTCGCATTGTTTCCTTCGAAATGTTTCGTGATGAAGTCTTGTGAATATTGTGAATATAAAACGATAATGCATCAAAGTTCTAATTTTTACAGAACGATAACATTGAAAGCATAATAATCAATGAACCGTTATTTGTATTTACATTTTATTATCTATTCAGAACTTACAATTATCATTTCGCCGCACCAACAAAACAAGGTTGCAACTAGTAAACCCTTCTAAAATGAAGGAAAGAATACAATTCACCTCAATTCAACATGTACCTATATGATTATCAGTGAACAAACTGTATTACTCTACTAATTTACTCTTCCGATTTTAAAGTAATATGTAGCTGACTGACTGACTTCATATAAGAGTTCAATCAGTCTGTTATCCTGAATTTCGTCATCATATAGCCATCCTGTTTCGAGCTTGACAGTTTTCTAAACTACGAATTAGTTTCGTCAAGCACTGTATCGTGAAACATTCAAGCTACTGATTCCACGAATGCGAAATCGTCGCTTGAAGATGTATTGTTCTGGTTTTGCTGTTTTACCATTTTGTTACACAATCATAATATATAGATAGTACTGAGAATCAATTTCTCAAATCATAACATTATTTCATGATGCTTTGCATTAACAACATACAGTGTAAATAGCACAAACTATTGCAGATGTTTAACAGTTTCAATCCATGTATAAAGTAAACTGGTTTCATTTTGCAACTTATGTGCGATGACAACATCATGGCGCAAATCATTTTCTTATTTACAATGACCGCATATCGATGCAAGTAAACGTCCAAAGCAGCTGTACATGTATTAGAAAACAAAGATTTCTTTGGAATATTCCTCAATGAAATATTAAGTTGCAAATGTATTTCTATTGCGGTGTAGGAACCATTTTACCGGTATTCATGATGGGCATATTTTCTTAGGAAAATATAGCTATTCAAGAAAACCATTGGAAAATCAATAGTTACCATTATTCACTACTAGTTTGTGGAAAACTATGATTAGATCAACTTACGATGTTAAATATCGCTCCAAAAATGAAGAAAAGGAATCCAATTGCAACAAATACAAGACATAATGTGAACAAGACTAACTCCCATATTCCTTTTGAACCTTGTATTTCTACATCCACTAAAATCGCTATGATGACGAACGCGGTAGCCACAGTTACAGAAATAATTTGTTCATACCACTTTGCAAACGACATTAGTAATGCAACACCGACATTTATAAAGATCATCTGAATATAGAAAAATTAATATGATATTACTATCAGTTCAGAAATTGAACCGGTCAACGAATGGAAAAATAATGAAATACTAATCTACATTGTCCTGCATTCGATTGAAATGCTTTAAAATGAATATTTTTGGATACAAACACACAACAAGTAATCCTTATCCAAGTATGTCATAATGACAAACGTAAAATGACTTGCAACCTAATTTCCTCATCCCCAACATATGACCATTTTATATGAGATTTATTACCTAAAGGGTGGATAGTCCAAGTACTACGACAGTTAGTAATGTCTAAGACTTGAAGCACTAAATGATGACTTGTGTATCATGCAACACAAGTTCAAACAAAAACAAAGTGTGTGGTTGATAATACAAATGAAAATCACAGAAATCCAATTTGTTTAGTTATTCTTTGTTTACAATTCATTTCACATCTTGCAAACGGTTATAACAACAAACGTAGATGAGAGTACAATGTACCTGTGTGATGTGTATCCACGTCTACATTTTTCTGAATTATCCAATAACATGGACGGATACCTTGTATTCACCAGTTAAAAGTTAAGCAATAGCTCATGATATAACCTGATCATCAATGGAATCGGTGAAACTATGGAAACTGGATCTCTTAACAATATGACATCTAAAAATTCAACAATGAAAATCATCTGTTCAAATCAACATTCAAACATTCATTTATGTCGATCACCTATATCGCACTGACATGACAACATATTACTATTCAACAAACAAAATAACTAACTGAATTTAATCGATGATTGGATGAAAATATCATGATTATCATTTTAATTAATGTTCAACTGACGGTTATAGCGATGAAGATAGTGTTCATTGTGGATGTAGAATGTAGCTCTCTTATGAATATTATTATTAACCCAAGAACTAATCCGATCAATCTGAAGAACAAAAGAGAGAAATGTACAACATACTAAACTCACAGATACAATAGACCACAGTGATGCGCATCAAATGTTCTACATAATCTGTATGCATGAAATGGTTGAACAAGTACCTCAACTCCTCAGTTCGACATTTTCGAAAGTATATAAAACTTGTCGAAATAATCGATGAGTGGAATACCTAATGAGTGTTCGTCTTGAATATCTTATTTCAACCCCAAAATGCTCTGGTACGTCCGGGATTGGAGAGATATAGGTCCCCCTCTCGAAATTCTTTCACATGGACACGCGTATTTAGCTACTGTCAAAGAAGTTCTACCTACTGCCTTCTCATGGTGGCTTTGTTTATGAAATTGATTGGTTGTCCGTTTTATTAATCGGGTTAGTGAACACGAAAAGTCTGCATGGGTGAGTTGTAAAACACTGATTCCAAATCAGTGATGCCCATGGCTTCAGAATACTGAGGGAAGAAATGGCATGTGATCCTATCGTCGATCGCTGGCTTCCGTAGAACTGCATCTCCTGACGTCACTCCACTGCTTTTCGAATCAAACGTTTTGGTCGAGGGCTCTTGGTATAGCTCTCTAGGAAAACCACCTGCTTCAATCTGGTCAACCAGGCAGTATGACAGCCCATAAACAAATCAAGTGACTTGTATGGCGTATAGGTATTCGATGACTCTTTGTACCAATATTTATAGATTGAAATAAATACATAAATACATTTCATTATAATCATTTATTGTGATGTGGGGTATCACAAAATGAGAATGGTTTGTACTTGAAGCGAGAGAAACTAACTTTCCGTTCCTTAATCATAATATTCTTGTCAAACATGGATCAAATTTCTCATCAAAGTGTATTATTCAGTTCATTGAATGATACGTAATAGAAATACATTTGAAATTGTCGTTGTGATTTTTGTGCAATACCTGTATTTAAAACATGTATTACTTACGTTAATATGAAACCACTGAGAACAACTGCTTCTGTATAACAATGAAAGCTGAATCTGTCAAATGGAATGTTAAATGTCTTACATGCATGTAGAATACTCGTGACAGGTTTCATTTGACACATTATTGGATGCGAATTCCATTGTCGTTTAATTATCTGCAATGGAGATTTGTGAACGATTCACCACTAAAATATCACCTTCCACAACCAGTAATTCTAACTTGAACTGAAATAAGTAAGAATTCCCAATACAGTGTTGAAGATAATAAATGTCATGGATTACATTAACCCTAACAAATTTCATTCACACGCCTATTTGTTTCCTTTTTCATTGCATTTCAACAAGTCTAGATTCATGGACAGAATCCTAATTTCATTTGACTAGTTTGTTGCATCATCTTGATTAGATTGAAATCTGATGAAAATTGATCTCATCAGCTTCATGTTATTTGCCAACTGCGTACAGTGACTTAAAGTCCAATCTAATGACACCGTAAATGATACTCAATCTATTTCTTTCACTTTGACATATTTGTGTTTGAAAAGTGAATGACATGCGATTGAATCATGATCGGCCTCCCACTTTGTCAATTATTCCGATGATCCCATGGTGTGCATAAGGAATGAGGATTTCTATCTCTTCATTGTCTCTTGAAATAAGTGACCTTTTGTATCTCAGTGAACGATGGTCTGTTTTTATTGTTTTCGTACCTAATCTTATTGAATATCAAATTGCAAACTTTACACTTAAACACGAATAGCATTCAAACATCACGTTGCAATACCATGAAGTTTGTACTATTGGAGATTTTCATAGTGAAAATGATATCAAACGTCACGTATCGTGGTTCAAGATTCCACTTTAATTTCTCTTCATCTTCTCCTGTACTGTGGAAATGAAGGAAAATTCTCCATTCATAATTTGATGCAGAGAAACCAAATACATTTTGCATTGCTCGACATTTATATTGAGGATTTGTTGATTTTTGTATTTCACTTGCTAATCACTAACGTTCTAAACGATTCTTCCCAATTTTTTCCGGGAAAGATTATGTCGCATTGTGGAGAGTGCTGGAGGTAGAGAAGAGTGTGTGTGATGAATCTTATGAGATCATTACAAGCATGATTGTTGATAGACATTGACAATTATGCAAAATGCTAAGAAGTGATATCCTATAAAATATTTGCCATCAATTTCATTCATATCTCTCACCCTCAATATACTCTAGAAGGATGAAGCACTAAAACATGGGAATATCTCTCATATTTGTAAAAGAAACTCGTTGAAATCATTTGAGCTCAGTGTTCTGTATTGTTGTTAGCCTTTAACATCAAACGTAACCATTGGCATTGCTACTTACAATATAACATATCAACAAATCTAAACTCATGCTTAATTCAAACCATTCGATAGAAATTAACAAACTCACATGGAATGATTTTGATGTCCAGTAAAACTGATTCAATAAAATCACACAAATTTATAACGATATTCACCAATTACTTTGAATCAACTTTATTAACTTATGAGTGGTTGCGTTTTACATTGAACTTTGGTTGAGCTAACTTTGTACAGAACAACGGAATAAGTGATTCTATTAGAAATAAAGCAAACACTTTTTAGTTATTGTTCATTTTGAACAAATATGTGATAGCACATTGAAAAAGATGAATGATCTTGTTTCTACAATGAGCTCAGTGGCTAAATGAGGTTGTAGAGTGGAGTCGAGTCGCAAATGACTATGAACACCACTACAAGAATACTATGTGTCAGTTAACCGATAAAATCCCCTGTAAGCCAAATATCAAAATGCAGTTGATGGCTGTAGTTGAGATGTATTTGTTGGCGATCTAGTGGTATCGAAGGAGTACCGTGATAGTGCCAAAGGAGTACAAGCGTGGTTACCTGGCGTAACCGAACTAGTGCAAGGTCACAATCGAAAGATAATTGAGCAATAATATGTCTGTCTTTAACATAGTTAAACAAACGAGCACAGTAAAACTATCACTGGTGCAATTGATTACAATAATGATTGTTCCCATTAAATCAATCGCGTTCTCTTGATAAAATTAGGTCACCACAAAGTCTCTACAGTGTACTGGCAGCACACGGAACACATAGTGTTAACGTTTTCATTCCGTTGACTTTATAAACATATTGTTTATTTTTCAAGTCACATACTCTTTTAATCTTTTGCATTATTCAAGACCATTATTTCACTCACATAATCTAACAGACCGTTAGATCGTTTTGTTTAATATAACTTATCATATTGTTCCGACTTCCGCTCTTGCATTACCAGAAGTGAATGCACTGGAATATAGTGGCTGCGAATGGTAGGATAATCATACGTGTTGTTTCCCTCATTTAAATGAGGGTGCCACATCACGGCAAAATTCATAACATCCAAGCATAATTAGTAGGTCTGTTATTGTGCATTCACATTCACTTGTACCTTCATTTCATGATACACACACCAAGTTTTCTAAACATTGAAACATACTAGTAGAATATTCAAAATATGATACGGTAGATGTTCAAAACAGCTCAGCAAAGTAAGTTCGACAGACAGTAACCATATCATCTAAAGACTTCTTCCAGCTAATTGTATTTCTGTGTCAAGAATTCACTTTGATGAACATGTCAGTCAGAAAGTTCTATGCTGAAGTGTTTTAAATTGTATACATTGATATTGGAGGGGAAACTTCTTTATCGACTTTCAATGCTTTTGCATATCTAATAATCTATTCAAAGTATAATTAGTCACTTAGATTGTAATTGCATTTTCATTGTATTTAATTCTTCAGTAAAATTTCGCATTCAACTACCAACTATTCATCTTGATCAGTTCTCCAAATGTTATTTGTAATGAGTATTAAAGCATATGATTGAACTCTAATGAACATTGAAAAATCGTCTGGACATAAACATCAACATCATACTCTCATATATTTGATAACTCATTCAAACAATAGAACTCATAACAACAGTCTGCGTAAGTAAAAGGCTGATAGTGGAAAACATTGAGGTGGTTAGATTGCCTAGATAGTTTTCCCAAGTATGAAGTCCTTGATTGTTTCTAGTGATGAACATCAACATTTGAAACATTCACAAACAAGAAAAGCCTGGTGATTACTTAGTTTACTTGACTTGCATCATCAGGGACTAGATTCTATATGAAAATCGATCACTGTGATAGGTCCTCTAAATCTTTAGAAAATAAACTTAATGTCGAAATCTTATCTATAATACCAAAAAGACAGATAGCGGTTATAGTAGTTAAACGTGTGTTCAACATCTTGACTTCACATTCAATCATACAGTGTGTTGTTATGATGAGAAAACCATTTGTAGAATTCGATTAAAACTTATATTGAGTACGGTTGTGTGATGTTTTACACTTCATTTTAATTGTGTGTCATTCTCTGTATTGACATATAGATTACGTCGAATGATTGAAAATCATGTCGAGGTTCATCAAGTTGGATTTCCATAGAAATGGCAGGTTTAAATATATCAGTCACAGTATGTAACTGTGAACTGAAAACCCTTGTATTTCTCTTTTTATTGTTATGAGCAGGCTCAGTATAGAAGATGGGCGACTTTTCTAGTTTTATAAATTATTTTACATTAGTCTTCATCGTCTTATTACTGTTCACCAATCTGATGTACTGACATTCGTTTTATGATCACTTTGTACTTGGAAGATTAAATATTAGTAAGTATTACGTTGTCATAAGTCGACATTAAGTTGCTTCAAATAATTGTTCTTTGGACTGTTCTACTAATATCATCTGAAATACGACCGTTCCCTCACACAATCGTTCATGATCCTAACCTGGTAACTAATAAAGTTGATCAGGTAATTTATTGATCGGATAGCTCAATAAGTGATAGTTATTTGTTCTATGCCATGATTACAAATAATTCTTGACTGTTGTATACAAAAAACTATGACACATGTGAAGTAAGTCTTCTGAACGCAATAGCGAATGTGGTTTCTTTCCCGATCACGAAGATTAGGATCAAGAGATGAATTTCAAACGTCACACATTGATACATAAAATAATTCGTCTGTAGAATTTGTGTAGTATTTTTTCCGAAAATGTATTTAGTGTTAATGAGTTTGTCATTTTTATTGTTAATGCATGTTTAACGTATTTTAGAAATCAATTGCGAACTAGCTACCTACTTAGATAACTCATCAGATTGATATGCATTTAACTATTAAGTATATAATGAACTTGATTTGTATTGTGAATAGAACTCTTTTTAGTCATTGAAATCATGACACACGTATAATTTGATCTTCGATCATTTTTGTGTGTGCAGGTTACTAATTCTATTATCAATTTTGCGAGGTTTGTTTCCTATACTTATGAGTCGATTTTGAATTTGCAGTGGTTCAGTGTGTTTTATAAAGTCGCTCAAGGTAAACTTGACTTCTTCTGTATAGTATACTGGATCAATATTCCATTGAAATCTCAGTATAAGATGAGACTAAACTAAAATACCGTAGAATAATTATGGTGTATTCAACAGGCAGGATTCCGTAAGGATAGATCGTGTACAGACCAAATCGCAACTCTACAGATCATTGTGGAACAATAAGTTGAATGGTGTTTATTAACAATTGTCTACGCAAAATACTTCAGATCCGTTGGCCGGACACTATCAGCAACAACGTACTGTGGGAGAGAACAACACAGATCTCAGCGGAGGAAGGAATCAGAAAGAAGCGCTGGAAGTGGATAGGACACACATTGAGGAAAGCACACAGCTGCGTCACAAGACAAGCCCTCACATGGAATCCTCACGGCCAAAGCAGGAGAGAAAGACCAAAGAACACGTTACGTCGAGAAATGGAAATAGACATGAGAAAAATGAACAAGAATTGGATGAAACTAGAAAAGAAGGCGCAGGACAGAGTTGATTGGAGAATGCTAGTCGGCGGCCTATGCTCCATTGGGAGTAACAGGCGTAAGTAAGTAAGTAAGTAAGCAAAATAACCCATCAGTTTATCTTACTCATTATAATGTTCAAATTTGTTTCAAAACAATCGATGCTTAGAATTTCTCTGATATTATTCTGATACATCGCTTTATATTTACTATACATTTGTTCAAATACTAAACAGGAAA